AATCCGGTTGCTGAAAATACGACTTCAATTAACAACGACAATAATCACTGCTTTCATGAACATTATTCTGGCTACACAGAAGACGTTAAATGCAGTCTGCACAACAACTCTATATCAGTTCTGCAACACTTGATCAGTGAACATATCATTCCCACACAACATGTCGAATTCCTAGATTATATGAAAATTTCTTGAGAGATTTATTGAATTTCCTGAAAGCTTTATGTGATTTCTTGAAAGCAATAGAACGTTGAGAACTCGAATAATTATCGAGTTAAGAAATGAAGACTTTGTGTAGTGATTGAGATAAAGCATGAAAAACAAACATCATCGCGTTGGAACGAGACAAATGTCAAAGAAGCATCGATATCAGATCCAGAAATACCGAATCCATTCAATAATGAACCGAACACTGTTAACTGACAGCTATGTCTATACAACATCCGCAATTGATCCTCTAACTTCAGTCGCAATCCATTAACCACTTGCAAATAATCATCTTTCATACGCCATTTCTCTACAATAAAACATAGTTGGTAGTTATGTGATGTTGTGTATATATAAGAAATACTACTGCTCATTACAGCTGGTGAATGAATATTATTTGCATTAACTGAAAAAATGAACTCTAAAAACTGTATCACATTGGAATATATTTTTTGATTCCACTAACCAAATGTATTCTGTATGATCATACCAACAANAACTGTATCACATTGGAATATATTTTTTGATTCCACTAACCAAATGTATTCTGTATGATCATACCAACAAGATCATTATTGACAAGAAAAGAACGGCGACTGCACGATTGCGGACTTTGGGTTTTCAAATGAACCACTGCATTGTTTCCGTTGCAGACATAAGCATTGGATAAATAACTACATGTTGGTACACATGAATGAGCTGTTTTTATTGTTTCATTATAAAAATCATTCGATTCTAAATCGTCACTTAAAGAAGTGCACCCAACATTTGTTACAATAGTAGCATTGTCGTCATTACAATTACCGATATTGTTATCATAATTCGAACTCCACGCATTACTTAAAACAACTCCTTGTCCACTGTGAGCATAATCACTATAGTCACGATCATCGTCATTAAAGTTGATACTCCACTCACAATTTCGATCACCTTCGCCAGCGAAGGCATTTTCACTGGGACCCTCATGGTCCTTATCGTGACCATAATCAGCACCACCATAATTATCGCACT